TAATATTGTTTCACAACCCTCTTGACATTCACATCATACTAGGTTGAGATATGAAGAGTTATCAACACAGCTTCACAAAATGTCCTTTTTTGCATCTAGTCAGATTTAGCTGAACATTCCACATCACCTCACATGCTTTACTCCCTGTAGCTGATACAGGGTTTGTTCCCTTTTGTTTCTTTTTTTAAATAACGGTAAAACAACATTTCATTTATGTAGACTAGCGTAGGTGAAGTACAAACCAATTTCCTGAGCGCGTACGGAGTCCAAGCAAACCCAGATCCCCTCTGAGCGACAGCTCGAGCATGCCTGATTCCAGGAGGGACAATGAGCTGTGGAGCCAGCCACCCCGACGTCCAAGTTAAAAAAAGGTGAGGCAACAAATCAACTTCAAGAAAAGGATTGAATCAAATGATATGTAACGGCTGTTGTTGTTCTTTCTAAATAGCATGCAATCTCCCATTTAACCCTAATGTTAAGCCTGTGGTTACTTGGGATGGTCATCAGCTCACGTGTCCAACAGAAATACTTCCCTGTGCATGTGAACGGGCAGCAGTGTTCACTGGCCCTCTGTCTTATGACTTAACGTAGCCATTTTGTTTTTAAAGGAACTTCCAGGGTTCTTACGGTCATTAAAAACCTGGAAAAGTCATGGAAATTCAAAATGCTAATTCCAGGCCCTGGAAAAGTTATGGAAAACAACATTTTTCCCAAAGTTTTGGAAAAGTCATGGAAATGTAACTAAAGTTGCATCAAATATAATTTATATTTTATCTAATTGCTGAAATAGTAATACTATAATGATAATAAATACTGTATGGTATAGTAATGAAACGTAAAATGGCATTTAACTGTTGAGGTATTTTGCTGGTGAGAGATTTTAGTGACTTTAGCGTGTAGAAGCTAGTAAGCGTACTATTTGATTTGTTTTAGACAGGCACAACATGTTTCATATGCAGACCTTATTTTCCTGTTCCATGTTAAAATAAACAATTTTCAGTGGTACTGCTGAGAAAGAGTAATGTTTTTGGTCATGGAAAATTAGGTAAAGGTCATGGAAAATTAGGTAAAGGTCATGGAAAAGTTATTGAAAATCATTGGTGAAAAAGTGTATGAACCCTGTACATCTCTGTTTTCTTGACTGTTTACAAAAGCAACTCTCTGAGAATCTACAACAAAGCCCTGACTCTTTTGATGAGCTGAAGTCTGTCCTTGGCACCATATCAGACATCAGGGACATGTCTGTAGATGTTGAGTTGAGATACATTGATATCCAGGAGAGCTACAGAACACTGGCCATTTACAAAGTGCAGGTACTGTGTGTTTCATTTGTAAATTATTGTCCATTGAAAGTTGATATTGTTTCCCTGGTTGAACATCTTCTGTTCTGTTTTTTGTAGGTTGGGAAAGATGAACTGGAGCTGGTGGGAAAAATTGACCAAATATGGAAAGAGCTGTCTGACGAATCTAAACAGGTGGATCGAAGTCTGACAGATGTCAAGACATCATTTGTTCAGGTAAGACATCAAACTCCCACATTCAGCTTTAACACAACATTCAAAGCATTGTTTTATTTGTATTGGTATTTTGAAATGTATTTTAAATTATCCTACTATTCTCCCTTCCCTTACACTCAAAGACTACAAAGGACAAGATTGGAGAGTTCACGCAGGAGTTGTCTATCTTTGCTGAGAGCTTTAACATGCATGGTCCTGGAGCTGTGGGAGATGATTTGGAGAAAGGTACCTGTGCACGAGATCCCTGCCTTTAGTTTTTGTATTCAAAGCAATAATATATGGTGAGGTGCAGCCCTGCCTTAGGAGATCTGGAGGCGTGTGGCGCAGTGGCATAGTGCGTTGGTGTTCGGATCAGGGGAGCACAGGTTCAAACCCCACTGCAGTCAGCATGTCGTTGTGTCCCTGAGACACTTCACCCCAAATTGCTCCTGTGGGGATTGCCCACAGTATTGAGTATGTAAGTCGCTTTGGATAAAAGCAAGTAACATGTAATGTAAAAAAAATGTAATCTGGGCTTTAAACAGTTTGGTCTTTAATTACGTCTCTAAATCAACTTTTAAATAACTGCTTTTCAGTCATTTCATTCATGTATTTTTTTCTCTTTGTTTTCACTAAACCAGGGTGTCCGCGGGGTTTTAAAAAGTATTAAAAGGTATTAAACGGCATTTTCCAAGATATTACATTTTGTAGCTTATTTTCAATAAGTATATAAATTGTCCAAAGTGGTTGTATTCTACAGTCTGCCTGAATGTAATCATTGCGTAGGTGTGTAGTGTGATTCTGTGTCGTTTATTTATGGCATCCTGTTGGACGTCATCTGAACAGGACATGGCACGCTCACTGCTTGATAGCGCACGAAGGTCCGTTTACGCCGGTTGTTAAACAACATCGTTATGGGGAAATGCAAGTTTGTGTCCAAATGGTTGGAAGATAAGGAGGGAGGACAATCAATACTGTATATAGTAAATGTGAGGTAAAGTGTGTCGCCAATGTAACCGGTTAAAACTCCAAGTGGCGATGAGGTCTTAAAATGTATGGAAAGGGTCTTAAAAAAGGTCTTAAAAGGTATTACATTTGACTTCAGGATTCCTGCATATACCCTGTGTGTAGTATGCCGTTACATTTCCAAATGTAGTTGAGGAAACAGTCTCTCTTTTTTGTTTTTCTCAGGACTGACCGTAATGGGAACCTATGAAAAAGACCTGGCTAAGATAGTGGCTGGACGACAGGAGCTAGCTAATGCTGAAAAGCTGTTGGACCTGCCAGTCACTGTGTACCCAGATGTCATCAGCATGCAGAGAGACATGGAGGGCCTGAGACAGATATATGGGGTCTATAAAGCTCAACAGGTAGGACGGGGTTTCAAATTGGGACACTCTACGTATCGTTCTGTTAGGAGTCTTTCAAGTGTTCATCCTTTAATCTTTTAGGACGCAAAGGCGGAGTGGTCGCAGATGTTGTGGATCGATTTAAACATCCAGACGCTACAGGAGGGTGTTGAGGGATTTATCAAAAGCTTGAGGCAGCTGTCTAAAGATGTGCGGGCGTTACCTGTGGCCTTCTTCCTGGAGGGACGCATGAAGGAGTTTAGAGAGTCCCTGCCTCTTCTCCTGGACTTGAAGAATGAGGCTCTAAGAGACAGGTTAGTCTGAAGATCGACACCAAAACCTTGAATAAATGTGACAACCAAAACATCAAGGGAGTAAAGAGTTAAGTATTGATAATGTACATACTTCGCTGATAACAAGTCTTATATTTTTGGCCACAGACACTGGAAGGAACTGATGGAAAGGACAGGCACCAGCTTTGAGATGAACGACAGCTTCACTCTTGAGAACATGTTTGCTATGGAGTTGCACAAACACGCAAATGTCATAGGTGATATTGTCACCTCTGCTGTAAAAGAGCTCAGTATTGAGAAGGTAAGCTTCCATTCTTATCTCAAATGCGACGTATTGAAAAGTCGCATCACTTTATCAGAGAAGCAGTGGCAAGCCGTCAGGGCCCTCTAGGGCCTCTCTGAGGGCCTAAGATATTCTACAAAATAATATTTTAAAAGGTTGTTTTTTAAAAATATTTTTTATTAGTTTTATAAAATAACTTGATTTAATTGTATTTAAAATAACATTACCAAAGAAATAAATCCTTCGAATCTGCCTATTAAGTTTCTGTTGGAATGTGAAGGGATAAATGAAAGAAGCTCGTCTCTGCAAGTTACTGTGAAGACAAGGGCTGATTGGTGGTCCTGCTGTAAATTCACAGAGGGCGCGGGCCCTCTGTGAATAAATAGCAATAAATGTGAACTATAGCGGTATAGTAACTGAACGAGAGAGTAATATAAAATGACAGTGCAATTGACCAATCATATCTTCCCTCTAAATGGGTGGGCTTTATTTTCGCGGACTTTATGACAAGTTCCGCCAGCTGGGAATTGTATGCATGTGTTATAACAACGGGTCAAGATTTCCAACTTCCTGTCAACAGCTTAAACTCTCCTTCTGTCATGGACAGCCTGAGTGAGGCTCGGGGGGGGGAGGGTCACGGCTCGCCACTGCAGAGAAGTCACGAAAGTTGTATAAAACTCTATTCCTGTGTGTCTTGGTGCTTCCAGGGAGTGAAGGAGGTGGTCATGACCTGGGAGAACATGAAGTTCAGCGTGATACCCTATTTCAAAGGCACGCAGGAACGTGGTTCTGTTCTGGGTGCAGTGGAAGAGATCATGCTGAATGTGGACAACGATGCCATGAACTTACAGAGCATGGCGGGCAGCCGATTTGTTGGACCTTTCCTTGGCACCATACAACAATGGGAAAAAGATCTATCCCTTATCAGTGAGACCATAGAGGTCAGTGAAAGTTGCCAAATCTCCCATCAAACTTGAACGAATCCGTAAAATCCTTTCTGAAAATATATTTCTTGCACAGGTTTGGATGATGGTGCAACGAAAATGGATGTACCTGGAGAGCATATTCGTTGGTGGAGACATAAGCACGCAGTTACCAGAGGAAGCAAAGAAATTTGACAACATCGACAAAAAGTTTAAAGAAGTAAGAGTTGCAAAATAATGCATAATATTTTTTTATGGAAACAAAAGACTGTTAGGGAATAATTTGCTTAGGTATTCAACTTTCAACACAGTTCATAATTTTCTCTCTTTACCGTCTCTTTTCCCATGGCATGGTTCTACGGCCTTGGGTATAGCTGCTATCTCTCTTAAGGAGGAGTAGCTTGGGCGCATTGTTGTTGCCAGTCTATGACAGAGCACAAGCCGCCATGAGGCGCACATTATTTTGTATGGACGAGAGCTCTAGTTAGATTCACTGATGAAGAATGTTGATTTTTACACTCTGAACTAGTTAAAACCTTGAGCTACAGAAAGAGTTCTTCAGAATTGGTTTGGCAACCACTGTGTCAACTCGTGACATACCACCTGTCTTGTCAAGTCTCCGGCCATAACTGCAAATAAACCGTCAGTGTTTGCCATCAAAGCTCCAGCTCTCCTCGTGCCTCTCTGAGTCCTGTTTCCAATTGCTTCAGAAGTTTCCCCCACAAAGACTATAACTGGAAATCTCAAATATAATATCCATCCTATTAATTCTCTTTGTAGATAATGAGTGACACAGTGAAGGGTCCAAACATTAAGCGCTGCTGCCTGGTTCCCAACCGGCTGACGTACCTACAAACCCTCAGTGACGATCTAGAGAGGTGCCAGAAGAGTCTAAATGACTACCTGGACTCCAAGAGGAATGCTTTTCCTCGCTTCTTCTTCATCTCGGATGATGAACTACTCAGCATTCTGGGAAGTAGTGACCCTTCCTGTGTCCAGGAGCACATTATAAAGGTATGACACCACTACAGACAAAGCAGTGAGGGATTAAAACAGAACCGACAATCACTGTTTGTGCAACATTTCCTCAATGTTTTTATTTTCTATATTCCACAAGATGTATGACAACATAGCATCTCTGAGATTTGATGCGGAAGGCGATGGGGAGACAGTCGCCGCAGCCATGGTGTCTGCAGAGGGTGAGCTGATGGAGCTGAGAAAAGCTGTCCCGGTGGACGGGAGTGTGGAGGAGTGGATGACAGGAATTCTTCTGGAGATGAGGAGGACCAATAGACTCATCACCAAGGAGGCAATCTTCCGCTACTGTGCGGACATGAGCAGGTGTGTGTAGATACTACAATCGTGTGGGCAACGTTGCCAGGGTCTGAATGTGTGAAAGAGTACACCAGGGCTATTCAATTAGTTTGGAATGGGGCCGGTTGATGAAAATTATCCAAAGCAAGGGGCTGGGAAAAAGATGGCTTGAAATATGAGCAATCCTATTAACACCTCTGAGGCCCCACGGACCCGGTTCCGGGGCCGAAATCGCGTAATTTGCAGGAAACAACGTCTAAGGAACCTTAATATTTAATAAACTATGAATATTTTATATCCATACAACGGGAAAAAACTAATTTAACTGATCTTTTTCATTTTTTTTCAAAAAAAACACACAATGCTAACTGTGAGCCTCTGAATTAGCCCAGAGCGAAAGATGCTAACCTATTACTGCACCAAAAATCACTCCTAGCTCCCTTATTACTTATCCTAGCTGCACGTCCAACACATCGTTTATGATAGTAAAGACATAGATTATAACGGTGCCCACCTCAACACTGAAAGATACAAACTCGCGACGTTATCAACAAAAACGTACATCAAAACAAGTGGCGCTAGGTAGCCCACAACGCTAACATGGTTTACCTTCGTCTTTGTCTGGTCTAAACTGGTCTTCAATGGCATTAAAACGATAACAACGATGATGTAGTTAATCCATAGGTTAATATCCAATGTGGCTGTGTCCCCTTTGAAATGTTCTGATAATCTATAAGCAATAAAACTGCAATTACGTTAAAAGAGTAGAGCAGGCCATTCCTA